TAGACAACTTATATGTTACAAAACTAATAAAAGGTACATGTGATTTTGAAGGACAGCATTTTTTCTACTTTATTTATTATTTTGATTTATATATATATATTTGTGGATTAGTGAATTGCAACCCTGCAGCTAGGTATAAATTTTCAGTACTTAAAGTGTAACATATTGAAATTATGTGAACTGTTTTCTCCAAGTTTTCTTGATCAAATATCATAAAAGTGAACTTTGAGACAGGGGAATTCAAGAAGAAAAAAAAAGAGTAATTTTTTACTTCATCGTGATCATTGATCTTCAATCTCTAGATCGAAAAATTTTCGACATAAAAGTATGACATTTGAGTATAAAAGTTTCATCGAACGATTTTTTTTCAGGTTCAGGAGCTTCACCGGCTATACAATCTCCAAAAGAAACTAATGCAAGAACTCGAAAAGAATGGACTCATAATCCATCGCAAGGCGAAAACTTTACATCCCGACTTGAGCAATAATCCCACGTTCTCCGCCAGCTGGCACCAAACACGAGCACCACCAACCGAGACAGGACACGATTTCCAAATTTTACCGGCAAGAAACAATCCGTGTAAAATCGGGCTTCAAAACGACTTGAAAGCAATAGTACATGAGGTAAATGACGTGGAGGTCGAACTAACATTAGGAATCGGGCACTGCACAAAGAAAAAAGGCTCGAAAAATGTTCAAGAATCGGGTTCTTGTTCGAGAAGGAATAATTTAGACGAGTATTTTTTAGAACCGGGATTATCGATGAACAATAATAGCAGCTCGAGTAGCACGGTTTATCAAGAAAACAATTCGCGGCCACATTGGCTTATTCGGGATTTAAGCTCTAACGGGACATGATTCGTGTGTTCGAAATTCCGAGGTTTTTAGACAATTAGGTTCTGTTCTCTCTCTGCCTGACCAGATTTTTATACTTGACATGACAAAAGTTACCAGGTGCTTTGGTTAATATAACAACCTCTACTCAGAAGGTCAGTTTCTTTAGCAAACTTAACTGAAATTTTAAAGGTGAAATCTTGATGCATTAGTTTTCATCAGGATAAAAAGAAAACAGTGCTTTTGTAGATGTTATCTAATTCTAGCTTGTATAAACTCTCTGACATGTGTTTAGCATATGTGGCTAGATTGGCATAAGTTTGGACAATTTTTTTGTTGTTCAGATAATGTGATTTTTCTTTCACCTTGTTACCATTGTTGTTGTCTTTACTCTTTTGACTTGTGAATTTTAATCTGCATTTCATATGAAATTGATCGATTGATATCAGAATTCCATATGTGTCTTTATTTATTGTTTAACTATAAGTTCAAGATAAATATATGTANAGAAAAAAGGTATTTCAAATCTTGAAGGATCAATGACATTCATCATTCACAAATGATCTTTGGTATATTCTTTTGTGTCTCAAATTCAAGAAATAACAAGAATTCTCTCAAACAAGATTCAAGCGATAAAGATATAGCCATCGGTTTCGATTGACGTGTAAGTTAGAACTTTATCCAAATTGACGTGTAAGTTAGAATCAGGTCTTCGAGATACCAAATCACGTTAAGAAGAGATGGAAGATCGATTTTATGGCTAAAACCAAGAAAAAAACGTTCAAATTCTCAACTCAATGGTAATTCAAGTCAAATCTATCCCACAGAAAGATTGAAGAATCAAATTCGATCAGAACCTCTTTTCAATCAATTCAAATCAATTCCTAAAGCTCAAATCTAAATCAGAGTCATGAGGCTTCCAAATTAACATCAGAAAAATTCAAGTTCAAGCCAGGAGAAAATCCAATGTTTAATCCAAATTTGATGATTCATGAATCCAAGAATATAATTAGTCTCAAAAGAAATCAGAGATTATTATATCTACAATAACACTTAACTCAATAAAATTCAAATTACACAATTACTTTACATTCTTGCACAAAACTTAACTCATCCGAAAAAAGCAAAATTGAAAGAAAACTAAAATAAAATAATCAAACAATTATTGAAAAAAACGAAACACGCA